GTACGTGGTGCTGAGGATCGAACCCGGGCCGCACGCATGCCAGGCGAGCGCACTACCACTTGAGCCACATCCCCAGCCCTATCCAGCCTCTTTATCAGAAGCCAGCGACAAGGGCTGGGGCTGTGGCTCAGTGGTAGAGTGTCTGCCTAGCATGGGTGAGGCACTGGTGTTCGATCCTCAGCACCACATAGAAACAAGACAAAGAAAATAAAGGCATGCTGTCCACATGCAACTTCAAAAAAAAAAAAAAAAAGAAAAGAAAAAGAAAGAAACCAGCAACTAGGAGCAAGAGCCTTATTCTCATAATTTTTGCTGGTGCTATTGCATCTTTAGATCAGACTGATGAACCTTGGCAGGTATCCTGGGAGAGATTCTCCCCAGCCTCTCTGGCTTCAACTTCCCATCTCTTAAGTCTTGCCTCGTTTCCCTTACAAAACATGACTCGAGAATCTCTAGTCTTAGATATTCTCCAGTATGAGTGATCCTCACACTGCCTGTCCCTGAGGAATGAGTACTGTGGGAGAAGAGGACAGGGCCTTTTCCATCATCTGTGCTAAACACCTCCTTCACTCTGTGGTCCTTCCCAGCCTTTCTCCTTGCCTCCACTGGGCCCCAGGGAACAAAGGCAACCTAAGCTTTACCACATCCCAAGCCTTTTTAAATTTTTAAAATTTTTATGTATTTACTTATTTGGGTACTGAGAATTGAACCCAGGTACTGAGAATTAACCACTGAGCCACATCCCCAGCCCTTTTTTATATTCTATTTAAGAGACAGGTCTTGCTGAGTTGCTAAGTGCCTTGCTAAGTTGCTGAGGCTGGATTTGATCTTGCAGTTCCCCCTGCCTCAGCCTCCCAAGTCACTGGGATTACAGGCATGCACCACTGCACCCAGCTTTATTTTTTATGTTGAGTCAGGATCTTGCTGAGTTGCTGTGTCTGGCCTCAAACTTGCAATTCTCTTGCCTTAGCTTCTGCAGTTCTGGGGTTATAGGTGTGTACCATTGTACCTGGCCCACAGTAGAGGTTCCTAACCTGCATTCCATAGGATCTTTGGTGGCTTCCACATGAATGGATAATGGATAAACATTTTTGTTCCTAAAGTGCACTAGTTATTTTCAAGGGCCCGTGATTCAAGGTTGAGGATCATTGCCTTGCAGTGCTCTCATTCTCTTGAGTCAGGATCTAGCCTGGCTAAGGAAATGGAAGTCAGAAGTTAAGAGAAAGAGTATATCGAGGGCCCAAATGGGACCCGCTGTAATGGTGCCAGAGTACTTTGGGTTTAAGTTCCCTCAGCCTAGGTGAGACCATGACTGAGATGGAGGCTAGTAGGGGTGGAAGATGTGTGTGATGAGATGACTTCGTGAGGACCTGCCAAGCTCGGGCAGCAGAAGGTGGGCAGAGTGAATGTATTCAGACAGCTCCCTGATTGTTCCACCATACGGCACATTTCTGAACAGCCTTTCTCTAACCTAAGAGCTTGCTGAGGTTAGAACCCAGAAAGGAACTAGGAAGTTCAGAGCCTTCATATTTAATCACAAGAGAGTCCTTTGCTGCGAGACCGGCATTTCACATCAGTCTGCCTGATTCCTGGAGTTTCTGCTCCTCTCTGCCCATCCTGGAGACAGAAGCTGAGCACTGGGAGAGGGGCTGAAGCCGAAATGGTAAAAACGACTCCCTGAAATAGAGTTATGGAAGGAAGGTGGGGATTAACAACAGATCTGTTGCTCTACAAGTTTAGAATGAGTTGGGTGGAAGATGTTACCTTTGTCACAGTTTATGTCCTGCAAGTGAGAGGTCCTGGGAGAAGAGGCAAGAACAGTGAATGTGGCAGTGTGATGAATCAAACCAACCTGAGTTCAGATGGGGTTCCCTAGTAACTAGCTCTGTGCACGAGCAACCCGAGTGACTTAACCTATTTTACCTGGAGTTGATGAGTTAAGATGCCTGCCTACCTACCAGACGGGGTTGATGGGAGGGTTCAGTAAAAAAAACATATAAGGCCATTTAAGTGAAGGAAGCCCTAAATGAATGTTTTCTTCTCTCTGGGCAGTTTTCTTCTCTCCCACCCTGGACAGAGCTGCCATTGAACTGCCTCTATCATATCCTTGCATGTGGTCATGCCCCACAAAACCATGTGGTGTACCCACTCGTGTCCCCAGTTGCATCCTCACTGGATACCAGCCTAAGAGCGGCCTTTCCAGTCAGGTAAGAGGAGGGACTGCACTCTGGGGCTGGGGCTCAGTGGTAGAGCACTTGCCAGCATGTGGGAGGCACTGTGATCTCAGCACCACATAAAAATAAATAAAAATAAAGGTTTATCCATAACCGAAAGGTAGGGGTGTGTGTGTGTGTGTGTGTGTGTGTGTGTGTGTGTGTGTGTGTGTGTGTTTGTTTTAAAGAGGGGGCACTGGCTTGTTGGTGATTTGACAAGCTGTAGAAATGCTCATTACATTAACCTGGTCTCCTTAGCAGACTTTAACCCTTGAAGCTATCCTGGAAAAACTGGGAAAGGAGAACAGGAGTGGCTGGTGGTAGAGAGGAACACTATTTCTTGGGTGATATTTTGTTTACTAGGGAGACCCTTCTCTATGCTTAGTGCCATCATTTCTGGAGCTGCATTCTAGCTGTATAGTAGCTGCTGGCCACGTGTGGTTATTGAGCACTTTTAAAGGTGGTAGTGCAACTGAAGAATGGGATTTTATATTTGTTTAATTATAACCAGTTTAAAGTTTAAAAGAGATACTTGATTCATTTATTGGAAAACAGTATGTTTGGAACAACTTGGATGTGTGAATCTACTTTTCCAGCAGTGAATTTAATGAAATTTATATACAAATATTTTCCGTAAAAAAAAAATTAGTGATTTAATTGAAAATGTGCTATGAATATAAAATATATACTGGATTTCAAAAACCAAGTATTAAAAAAAAATAATGTTAAGTGTTTCCTCACTGATTTTTATATTGGTAACATGTTGAAATAAAAATAATTTGGTTACATTGGGTTAAATAAAATCTAGTTTTGAAATTAATCATACTGCGTCATTTTGACTTTTTCAATGGGCCCCTAGAAAATTTGAATTTACACATGTGACTCAACTTCTTTTTCTGTTTGGCATCTCTGCTCTTGAGACTTTGGTGAGCAGCTTCTCCCTGTGCCAGACGTTCATCTGTTCCTGACTGCCTGCCCCAGGGGCCACACAGAGATTTCTCCAACAGCAGGGCTGCTTCTGCCCTTATCTGCATTGCAGAGAGGACCAGTATACTGAGAGCCACTGGCGCCAGACTCCCAAGTCCTAATCTAATAAGCTGGGGGACGTTGTGGGGGAGGTCCCTGGGATGCTGACTGAGTTGTGCACAGTGGGGGAGTTTGGCAGGAGGACTCGGGGATACCTATTTCTCATGGATGTTGATTTCTTCAGTCACACCCCGAACTGGTGGCTTCTCACATTCACTTGTGCCCCACTGAGGAGTTGCCTGGCCTCAAGTCCAGCTCTGCCTCCTCCGTAGCACTGGCTGCCCTCACCTGTCGGGGACAGTTGGAGCTGGGACTGTTGTAAGAGTGGAGTCTCCTCAGACCAAGGACAAACAGCAGCGGCTAGGAAGCTCATGATGTTCGCCTGTGGTTTGGTGTGGGGTGGGAGGGGATCCAGAGGAGGAAGGGAACTAAGGACGCTGGGCAGATGTTGCTGCAGAGCCAGCAAGGCTCCCTGGGGCCGCATGATTCTCCCCTTGTCAGTCCCTCCTCCTGCTCCGCTCCTTTTTGCTCCTCCCCTTCTGGTGATGCTGAGACTGTCGCCTGATCTCTTGAGCACTCAGCATCTCTACTTTTTGGGGCTTGGCTTTGTCCTCTGTTTGAAACACTTTGTGGTAGTCAGCAGTTCCAAACCTTCCCTCCACTTCCCTGTCTGGGTGACGTCTGTCCAGAGACGGCTTCCCACTAGGGCTGTGCCAAACACGGACCAGGACTGCTACAGAAGGGAAGTGGAAAGTAACCAGGCAGGCAGATCCTGCTGCTCCTTCCCCCTCCACTTCCCACTCGCTGGGCTGCCCTCCCTTGTCCCTCAGCCTAGCATCTTCTGCATTCTGGGTCTCTCTCCTTTGACAGCTTTGCATTTGTTAGTCATTTTCTAGGGGTTTCCTCTAGCTTTATCCCCACCAGAGCAGTAGGGAATCTGACACCAGAAAGACTAGAAAGGAGGGGAGGAGCTGGGTATCCTAGGCTGGGATTTTTGCACCGGGATCCCCTGGAAGTTGCCCCAGCTCCAGAGAAGGGGAGTAAAAGGGAAAGGATTGAGACCGAAAGGAGCTGGGAGCGCTGATCTTTCCAGGCTGGTAGGCCCCCTTACCCCGTATGTTAGGTGGAGGTGAGGCCATTGGGTCACATGGTCAATAGGCAGAAAGGGGAAGACGGGAGGAAATAGACTGAAGTAAAGAACGTTCCAGAGATGGTGTTTTGTTTTGGCTGCGAGTGTAGTGACCTTTTGGCAGCAGGTTTAATGGTCAGACAGAGGAAGGTGTTGGCTCATGCAGACACAGCCCAGTGTGTGGTCCATCTTCCCCCATATCACGCATGCATCCTCTTCTCCTAGCTTGAGGATCCTGGCCTCCAGTTCCTTACACTTACAGCCTGGGGCTGAGGTGTGATGGGGAGTAGAAAAGAAAGGGAAACTTCCTGGGTAAGGAGCCAAGACCCCAAGAAGCAAGTGGCACTTGTGAGTCTCACCTCTAAAACAATCTTGGCTATGGTTGCAATTGGTATTGATTATTAGAGAATGTAATTGTGGGAAGAAAGCGTAGTGGTTAGAATGGCAGACTGGAACCTTGGTTGTTCCCTGCTCCACATGGGGTGGGGATGAAGGGAGGGCTGGGTGGACTACAGGGTCTAGATCTACAAATCCTTGCACCCTTGGAGAAGAGATGACGGTGCTGTCCTCAGACTGGAAAGGCACGGACAGCAGCTCCTTTCTCAGGAGGCGTCACTAATTGCTGGCCTGAGGCAGGTGGCGGGTTGGGGAGATCTGGGCTGCTTGGGATGAGGTTCTGGTCCAAGTGGCCTTGGTTCTGTCTTTCCCTTGGGTGTCTGAATTGGACTTGTCTGGGTCCCCTGGGTGGAAGGAAAAGTCAGAAGAGCTTGGCAGTGACCCGATTTCCCCCAGAGTTCTTATCCCCAGAGGGCCGAGGTGCCACAAAGTCGAAGGTCACATGGTGTTTGACCCGGCCCTTGCCCTTGCTCCAGAGGGCAATCAGGCCAAAGCAGAGGGTCACTGAGGTGAGGAAGGGGAGGAAGCCAACTGCCAGCACCATAGCCACACCCCTGCTGTCCAGAAAGAAAGGCCCTGGGATCCCCGGCACGGTGACGTTGGGGTCAGGGAGAGTGCCGTTGGGTGGTTCAACTTGAATTACTTCCAGCCAGGTTCTTAGGGAGTCATTCCCAGCTACGTTGCTGACCACACAGACATAGGCCCCTCTGTCCTGCAGCTGTACTGAGCGGATCTCCAGTGTCCCATCCTCTAGGACCCTGACTCTCCCTGCCCTTCCCAGCCAAGCCCCCTGAGGCCTCATCCAGGAGACCGTGGGGGCTGGGTCTCCATCTCCCGAGCAGGAAAAAACGGCGAGTCCTCCCTCCTCGGCCATGACCCAGCGGGGCCCAGACTTTCGGATCAGGGCTGGTTTGCAGGTAAAATGCCCTGGAGGCAGGATGTCTGAAAACTCCCTCAGGCTCTTCCCCCGGACCTGCTGGGGGCCGGCACAGGCAGGGGGGGAGGTGCCAAAGTCCAGGCGGCTCCGGAGCCTGAGCAGCCAGAGGAGGCGACAGTCACAGGTTAGGGGGTTGCCAGACAGCCTCAGAGTGACCAGTTTGTCTGGAGCAGGGAAAGCCGTTTCCTCCAGGGTCTGAAGGGCGTTATCGGCCACATCCAGCAGGTGGAAGGCGGACAAGCCGTGGAAGGCGTGGGCCTCGATGGAAGTGAGGCCGGCCCCTGAGAGTCGCAGCTCCTGGAGCCGAACCAGGGGGCTGAGCCTCCGGGCTGGGATGGCAGAGATAGGGTTCTGAGATAGATCCAGGACCCTGAGGAAGCTCAGGTGGTGCAGAGCCTGGAAGGGCACAGAGCTCAGGTTGCAGCGAGTGATGGCCAGGCTGCTCAGATTGAGCCCCGTCAGACTCCCAGGGTCCAGAGCCTCCAGAGATGGCCAGTGGTGGATCTCCAGCTCCTTTAGCTGCCCCAGCCCCCGCAGCGCCCCAGCCGGCAGCCTCTCAATATCCAGTTCCCGGAGCCTAAGGACCACTAGTGCTGGGAGCCGGGCCAGGGCCAGGCCAGGCACCATGCTGAGGTTGCAGCGCTCCAGGGTGAGGGTGCTTAACCTGGCCAGTCCTGCAAATGCCCCTGGAGCCACAAACACCAGGTGATTGTCCCCAACCTCCAGCTGCTGGAGGCTGCCTAACTCACCAAAAGCTCCATCCAGGAAGAGAACAATCTGGTTGAGGCGGAGGTCAAGCAGCGTGAGGGCAGACAGACCCGAGAAGACCCCCGGCCCCACAATGCGGAGCCGGTTGCCCTGTAGCCTCAGGGTGAGCAGGCTCTGTAGGCCCTGGAAGGCCCCAGGCTCCAGGGCCGAGAGCTGGTTGTGGCTGAGGTCCAGTTCCTGGAGCAGGCCCAGTCGGGAAAGCATGCCCCGCTGAAGCCCCCACAGGCGGTTCCCACTTAGGTCCAGGAGCTCAGTGTCCAGCGGGAGTCCCCCAGGGACAGCCTCTAGTCTCCTGTGGGCACAGAGCACGGCTCGGGGCTGGGAGGTGCAGTCACAAACGGCAGGGCAGCTACCACTGCTACCTCCAGGCAGGAGGAGCAGGAAAAGGAGGGGGTGCCACGGGGGCCAGGCTTGCAGTGGAGCTGTGGCTGCATTCATCGCCTCTGAGTCCTAGAAGAGAGGATGTGGCTTCAGATGATGGTGACCTGGACTTTTTCAAGCCCTCCGAATTGAAATTGGTCTGTCTTAGCGTTGCCAGGAGGCAGGGTAGAGAACTAGGAAGAATTCTGTCTGGTGCACCACCTCCTGGGGCTTCCTGGGACTCCTCTTTGGGGAATCTTTCCTTCCCCCCGCATCCCAGGCCTGGCTAACCAGCTCTGGCTCCTGCAACTACCTCGTGAAACCCTAGTCAACCTGATTTCTCGGGGGGAAGTTTTATTGGAATGGGACAGGCAGCAGAAGGGAAGTAACTCTGAGTCTTTCTGTAATGATTTCTCCCTGTATCTGTAAGGTCCAGGAATAACTCAGATCCCTTCTCCCTGATATCTGCTCCCCGAGTGCTGCTCTCCCTCTCAGCCTACCCTTGCTGTCCCTTGTCATGGATGGCTTTGCCTAGGGCTCAAGGAAAACACATCCTTGGCCAGATCTGACTGGAGAAAGGTCCTCACCTCAGCTGTCACCCCAGGCTCTGCCCATGTCTCTGTACCCGTCCAGCCTGGCCCAGGGCCTGAAGTCTGGACTAGGAGATCCAGTCTCCCCAGGATGCCTGTGTGGATGACAGCCAGCTGTACACTATCCGTGACCCAGGGTGCAGGGGGCACTCTATGGGGGAGCTGGGAACCTCTTACCAACCCTTCCTCTCCTGCAAAGGCTGCCCAGGGTGTGAGTGGTTTGGTCCTCACTTTTCTCTTATAACCCTCCTTCTTCTTTTTTTAATACCAGGGACTGAATCCAGGGACACTTCACCACTAAGTACATCCCCAGCCCTTTCTTATTTTTTATTTTGAGACAGGGTCTCACTACGTTGCTTAAGGCCTTGCTACATTGCTGAGTCTGGCTTTGAATTTGTGATCCTCCTGCCTCAGCCTCCCAAGCTGTGGGGATTACAGGCATGTGCCACTGGGCCCAGCCCTTATAACACTTCTTAATAGTGTTTCGATTCTAGTCTGTGTGTGAATCTAAGAGACAGCCACTTGTCCCCTCTGGCCTGCGCTAAGATGGACTGTGATTCTGGGAGGCATAGATAAGGGAGGAGACAGAGCATCTGACCCGATGCTGTGGGGTGGGGAGAAGAGGAGCCCTTGGCTGGCACAGCAGACATCGGGGTTCTGGGTACCAGGAGCCTGGGCGATATCAGGGAGATGGTGACTGTGACGATCACCCGAGGCTGTCTGAGGTGATAGAGAAAAAGAGGTCTTTAGTGGCTGTCTCAATTTGCCCTGTTTGATACAACAGGGACCCGGAGGGAGGGAAAGTGTTGGAATGGGGAAGGGGCGGCTGATGTGATAGTGGCAAGAGCCACGGGTTCTCCTGGAGGCAGCACCCCCGGCTGCAGGTCCTGATCACCTCTGGGCTTCGAGCTTCAGGCTTTCTGGGTCCTATGGGGTCAGCCCTCTGCTTTGTGCCCTATTTTCTCCCAAGTGGAACACAGGACAGTGTGACTTCTTCCCCCTCCTTTCCATTCTCCACCCTCTGCCAGCAGAGTCATTCCAGAGGCTATCCTTTATCCACCTCAGAGGAAAGTGAAGAAAGAGACCCCAGCATTAGACTTGACGGGGTGCAAAAAACGGCAGAGGGATGCAGGGAACTATTCGGAGGCTTGGAGGATGGAAAAGAGTGGCCAGGAGCAAAGGCTGCTAGCGGCCTCCTCTGCCCTTACTCTAACCTAACAGGTATCCAGCATGCTGAGAGTTCTCCAGGGACAGGAATGCCCAGCCTCCCCCCTTCTTCCTGTGCCTGTTCTGGGAAGTCCACCTGACAGCTAGCTGTTCATCACCGTCGCTGCAGCTCCTGCTCATCCTCTTTGCTCTGCATTCAGCAAAAGTGCAATGGAGCATGGAACCCAGCCTCCCTCCTTCCCGTTCTTGTGGGTTTCCTCTTAGTCCCCCAAACCTGCGGGGCCAGGGGCTGGGGGACCTGGAGCCAGACTCTCTTATTTATCAGGTGGCTAATTTAATCACAAACTTGCCCAGCTCCATGGGTACGGGACTGGCTTCCAGCCACTTTGCCAGAGGAGATAGGTGTCGGGCCATTTCTTTCTCTCCTTCAATGGGGTGGGGGCATCCCCCCTGCCAAGGATGGAGAGCGTCCTCCTGGCACCATGTGGCAGTTCAGAGACACATGTGAACATGGGTGTCCTCTTTCAAGCTCACCTGACTGAGGCGTAGGGTCCTGTGTGGGGAGGGAACTGCGGGGGGCGGGGGGGAAAGATTTCTGGATTATCCACACTGACCCTGGGGGGAGAGTCTGCCCAGGGGTAGAGGGATCTCTGGGGAGAAAATGGAGGAGGTCTCCAGGGAGTCCTTCCACCTAGGGGCAGGAGCAAGGGTTGGCGGGCGGGGGCGGGGTGCAGTCCTCTTCCATTGACAGGCTCCCGGGTTTGGCTTTGTCTCTGAGAATGTTACGGAAAAGGGCAGCTGCCGTTGGGGACAGAGGGCAGGGGCACTTACCGGAGACGCTGGAGGGTAGCATCAAGTTGGACACTGCATCTGCCCGGGGCTGGGGGCCCCGTCCCTTTGAGCTGCACCTGGGGCCACTGCACTTCCCGTCTGTGCCTCGCTCCCCACTCCTGCCGCCCGCCCGCCCGCCCGCCTGCCACCGCCACAGCCGCTGCTGCTGCTGCTGCCACCGCTGCTGCTACCGCTGTGGTCCTTGCTGCCAAGACACAGGGAGAGAAAAGAGCCAGGAAGCATTTCTCCTATTTTTTTTTTCCTCTCTCTCTCTTTTTTTAAATCAGGCGAGAATGAGTCTGCAGCAACCCTGTTGGTGCAAAATAAATAAATAAAGCCACCAGGGAGGTCTGCAGCAAGCGGCCACTACAGGATGTCAGTGGAGGAAAGGAGCCAGGGGGAGGCTCTGTGCCAGGGACGGGTCTGCAAGAGAGGCAGCCGGGTGGCACAAAGGGTCTCTCTGACGTCCCGATTCCTCTCCAGGGAGCTCTGGAGCTCCCCCACTAACCAGCTTCCAGAGAATTGCCTTTTGGTCTCCCAGATGCAGAGCGATTCTGTGCCACCTCTAAATCTAAACTGCCTCCGTGGGCATCGCGTATGGAAAAGTTCTCACCCCACTACATTCCCTGTGGAGCTTAGTTTGAGGCACCTTGGGTGGAAGTACCTGAGGATTGGCTCAGGAGCCTCAGTCGGGGGTACTGCTCAGCCTGGGGGTGATGGGGGCTAGAATTCTCCTAATGACAAGGTGCTGACTGGACACGGAATGAGACCAGCCAGCAGGCACATAGGTACTCATATTGAAGACTCCCTCCATCCTGACACACACACACGCTTCTTGCCTTTCAAATCATTTTATAGAGAGCTGTACAGGTTGGGGTTTATATTTACCCAGCCAAGTCCCTCCCCTGAGAGGAAAAAAAAAAATCCTCCCATCACCTGCTATTCAGTTCTCCCAGGAGGGTCCACCGCTATTTCTGACGCAAAGGAAATTCTGGGACAAGGTCACAACGGAGAACCAGATCCCTGGTTCTTCCTGGTAGACGCAGTGGCAGCCAGTCACAGGGCCATGGGATGGCATCACCTTCTGTTTTTTCATGGGGAAAGTAGTCCCTGGCCAAGGAAGTCCTCCTCTTCCCAGTGTCTGTCTCTTTTCATCCCCAGCCTTTTTTATATTTTTTGAAACAGGGTCTCACTGAGTTGCTGAGACTGGCCTTGAACTTGGGATTCTTACGCCTCGGCCTCCTGCGTAGCTGGGATTGCGGGCTTTCTCTACCCGGCCTGGCCTCTGGGCAGCTCTGGTGATAGAACATGGTGGGAGCCAGGTGGGAGTTTGGACCACTCCAGGTGTAAGACTGGTGGGCTGGATCGCCACGGAAATGTCCTGGGATCCTACAGACTGAGACTCTTTCTGAGGTCACTAGGTTTCTCTGAGCTGCGACCTCAGGATGAGAGAGAGTGTGTCAGACCAAAGGTGCCCAAAGAACTGCATGACTGCAAGTTTAGTTCACATGTATTTTGCTTGTGTGTGAATGTGTGTCAGACTCCTACGGTTTTTATATTTAAAGTGCGTATAAAAGGATTCTTCTTGACCTCTGTATCTCTCGACCTGAGGGTATTGGCGTCCACTGTGTCACCCTCCCTTCACACCCAAATCCCGTGACAATTACCCCCTCCCTCCACCCCCTTCCCATTCCTGTCTGCCACAGGTTTTTTTGGTTTTGTTTTTTGTTTTTTTTGTTTTTTTTTTTTTTGGTACCAGGGATTGAACTCTACTGAGCCACATCCCCAGCCCTATTTTGTAGTTTATTAAGAGACAGGGTCTCACTAAGTTGTTTAGCGTCTCGCCATGGCCGAGGCTGGCTTTGAACTCGTGATCCTCCTGCCTCATCCTCCTGAGCCTCTAGGATTACAGGCATGTGCCACTGTGCCCAGCATTATATTCAGGTTATTTAGATCCCAGGAAAAGGGCAGGGTGCCCAACAACTTCTTTGCTGAACTAAGAGGAAGAAAGAAGGCAGAAAATGTAAGGATCCAGATTCATGTTATAGACAGGTCCTTCTGGGCTCTTGCCCTTGGGCTCTTGCCACTAGTCTCTGAGCTTGATCCATCTCCCCCAGCCAAAGCTCCTGGGGAAATGCAATGAGGTATTTCAAAGGCCTATTCTTAGCTTCTGAGCCCAGAGTTGAGTTCTTCTCATCCAGGGCGCCCTGGACTCCCTGTTTTCTGGAGGACACCTTGGTCCTCCTAGAGGTCCTTATATCCCGTCCACCCCATACTCCCAGAAGACAGGTGGAGGGGGTGGGAAATGGGACAGAACAGGGCCAAGGCTGGAGACGGGGTTCTTCCACCCCCCTCTCTGGCTGGTGACCCACTGCCAGGTAAATCTGGGGGTAGAAAATCAGTCCCAGTATTTGCTTATTCCCAGAGAATTGCTGGGGCCCGCCCTCCAGAGACCTGGGGAGAGAAAGACTGAGAGTGGACCCAGGTCTGAAGGGGGAGGAAAGGCATCCTTGTTCAGGTCACTTGGACAGCCCTGCGGGGGACTCGGTGTCAGTGCTGAAGAGCTCCTTGTAGAGCGGGGGGAAAGCAGCTTGGACCACGATGGGGTGGAGATGCTGGAAGACCTGCAGCTTCTCCACGTGCTGGCTGCACAGGTTCCGGAGCTTCCCCTTGGGTGGCAGCTGGAGGGGGGAAAGAGGGAAGGAGGTCAGCACTGGCAGCTCCCCAGAGCGAACCTCACCCTTCCTGGGACAAGGTGTCACTCCTCAGTTTCCTCTTAGGCGTTGGCACTTTTGGATCCGTCAAATCTCTTTGATAGAAGTGACAGAGTATAAGTGGGGCACGAGGCACAGGCCTCTAATCCCAGCCCCTCGGGAGGCTGAGGTTAAAGGGTCATGAGTTCTGGGTCGGCCTCAGCAGTTTAGTGAGACCCTATCTCAGAATGGAAAAGTAAAAAGGGCTGGGGACGGGGCTCAGTGGGTTCAATTCCTAGTAACTAGAAAAAAAAAAAAAAAAAGAAAGAAAGAAAAAAAAAAAAGCCTCGGAAAATAAAAGGTAAGTGAGAGCTGATGAGAGACCACTGAATGTTTTCTGGGTGCAGCCCCCAAATTGTGTTCCTGCTACTCATAAAATCAACTTTGGTTCTTGTTGTTCCAGTCATCTGCACGGCCTTTCTAATTCTTTTGTTAACTAATTCTTACTTTCAAGTATCACCCCTTCACCCCTCCCTGCCCGCCTCAGTAGTTCCCTGATTCTCCTCTGTCTGGGTTAAACACCCTTCCTCTGGGCTTTCCTCAGGTACTTACCTCGTTGTAGGAAAAGGATCCAATTGTCTGCCTTCCTATATCACGTAGAAGTTAACTAGGTTCTACCGTCTCTCTGCGTGCTCTGTACCTGTCATGATTCTTTGGCTCATGGCAAATGCTCAATAGTTCTTTGTTTGAAATAAAAAGACTTCTAAGCAGGTGCCCGATGCTGCAGGTAGTAGAGCAACCCTGGCACCCCTCAGCCGAGGGAGGATGAAGAAGGCACAGAAGCCCACAAGGAGACGGAGGCAGGGAGACCTTCAGAAAAAGGCTGAAAACACCGTTTCTCTCCTGCGGGCTCCTGGGTACAGGGGTGCAGTGCACACCTGTGATTTTAACAGCTCAGGAGGCCGAGGCAGGAGGATGGCAAGTTCAAAACTAGCCTCAGCAACTTAGCAGGGTCCTGAGCAACTTAGTGAGACCCTGACTCAAAGTAAAAAATAAAAAGGGGCTGGATGAATGTTTTCAGTGATATAAAGAGGCTGATTCATAGTGGGACAGGGAGAGGGAGCATGGGAGGAACAGATGAACTCTAGATAGGGCAGAGGGGTGGGAGGGGAAGGGAGGGGGCGTGGGGTCATTAATGATGGTGGAATGTGCTGGTCATCATGATCAAAGTACACGTATGGAGACACGAATTGGTGTGAATATACTATATATACAACCAGAAATATGAAAAAATGTGCTCTGTATGCGTAATAAGAATTGTAATGCATTCTGCTGTCATAGATAAATTTGAAAAAGGAGGGCTGGAGATTTAGCTCAGTGGTAAAGCACCCTTGGGTCCAATCCCCAGTACCAAAACAAAACAAAAAACACACACACACACAAAAACAAAACAAACAAACAAAAACCCCCAAACCTCTCCAGCCATCACCTGCCCCTGCTAGGCGGCCTTTCTGCCTGGGAAGGTGACGGGAAGAGGCAGCCTGGAATCCCTCCTGACTCGTGAATTCACTGTCTTTGGGTGAGTTTGACTGGACTATAACAATAGCTTCGTTCACTCAACAAATATTTTTTGAAAAACTCTGAATCTGTGCTAGGTGCTACGATGGGCTCAGGTGACTCATGAGTATGATATAAAATCTCTACTTTTATTCCATTTCCATACAAGTGAGGGAACCAGAAAAAAGATCAGTGATGTGGCCACACAACGACATTTTGGGAAAAACAGCGAACCACGGGTACTACTGTGGTCCCACAGGGCTGTAAGGGTCAGTGGCTCTATCAGTGAGTACACTCAACAGAGAAACCAGGGAAGGATGCGCGTGGGAGCACACTCCTGTTGTGAAGCAACCCAGGAGTGTGTGTCCTGTGTTGACAACTAAGCAGGGCCGGGGTTGTAGCTGGGTGGAAGAGCACTTGCCTACACGCACAAGGCCCTGAGTTCAAGTCCCAGCACCACAAAACCAACCAACCACAATGACCGAAGCTCAACTAAATCAAAGCAGGGTGAAGAGCAGAGGGCTTCTTTAGAGGAGAACTTGGTTAGGAAAACCTCCCCGGAGTGAAGGGAGGGAGTCAGTCATTGGGTAACTGGGGAAGAACCTTCCGGACCATGCCAACGGCAGGCACCGACGCCCTGAGATACAGCTGATCTTGACGTGCTCTGGGAACAGCAGGGAGGCCGGGTGGTTGAACAGTGGTGAGGGGCAGTGGTGAGGGGCAGTGGGAGGTCGAGTGAGCAGAGAAGACAGTGTTATGTCACCAAGCCAGGGGGCCATGACACAGA